AATACAATGCTTCATAAGTATGAGGTTTGAGTTATCTAATGGCGGTCTATGGTTAAGCCATGACTCTACAAATGTTGGTGTATGGTTGAGTCATTCCTCATCGAATGTTGGTGTATGGTTGAGTCATGACTCATATAATGCTGGTATATGGTTAAGCCATGACTCTTCAAATGTTGGTGTATGGTTGAGTAAATTCTCATTGAATGTTGATGTATGGTTGAGTCATGACTCATTGAATGTTGGTATATGGTTACGTCATGACTCATCTAATGTTGGTGTATGGTTACGTCATGACTCATCCAATGTTGATGTATGGTTGAGTCATGACTCATATAGTGTTGGCATATGGTTACATCATGATTCATTGAATGCCGGTATACTCATCTAATGTTGGTGTATGGTTAAGTCATGACTCATTGAATGTTGGTGTATGGTTGAGTCATGACTCATCTAATGTTGGTGTATGGTTGAGTCATGACTCATCTAATGCTGGTATATGGTTAAGCCATGACTCTTCAAATGTTGGTGTATGGTTGAGTCAATTCTCATCGAATGTTGGTGTATGGTTGAGTCATGACTCATTGAATGTTGGTATATGGTTACGTCATGACTCATCTAATGTTGGTATATGGTTACGTCATGACTCATCTAATGTTGATGTATGGTTGAGTCATGACTCATATAGTGTTGGCATATGGTTATGTCATGACTCATTGAATGCTGGTATATGGTTGAGTCATGACTCATCTAATGTTGGTGTATGGTTAAGTCATGACTCATTGAATGTTGGTGTATGGTTGAGTCATGACTCATCTAATGTTGGTGTATGGTTAAGTCATGACTCATTGAATGTTGGTATATGGTTAGGTCATGACTCATCTAATGTTGATGTATGGTTGAGTCATGACTCATATAGTGTTGGCATATGGTTACGTCATGACTCATTGAATGTTGGTGTATGGTTGAGTCATGACTCATCTAATGTTGGTGTATGGTTGAGTCATGACTCATATAGTGTTGGCATATGGTTGAGTCATGACTCATCTAATGTTGGTGTATGGTTGAGTCATGACTCATATAGTGTTGGCATATGGTTACGTCATGACTCATCTAATGTTGGTGTATGGTTGAGTCATGCCTCATGTAATATTGGTGTACATTTGAGTCATGGCTCATCGAATGGTCATGTTGCATGTTGCCAAATTGCTGTTTAACTCATAGTAGCATACATTTTATGTAATTAACAACTAAACCATAATAAAACTGCATTATGGTGATCATGACAGGTTAGGCTCTAAATGTTACAATGTAAGGAAGAAGAAAATTACCGTACCTCTAACTTGTGTTGTATACTTAGTCATAAATGCACTGAAAAGTCCACACACAAATCCAACAATTAGGCCACCAATGCTGACAACAAAGAAAGCAGCTACACCATAACCAATCTGAAAATAAGACACTCAATGAATTACCAGTACATATAGTGTAAAAACATTTGTATTTTGTAATGCAGAGACCATTGGGTATAATGTTAAAATTTATTGTTGGCAAAAAGATGAAAACTTAAATCTGAGAGTTATGTCATTTATACTGATAAAAAGTCAACATATTATTTATTTTCTCATATCATGCAATTATACTATTAAAATTCTGCATTGGTGTAACTTGGATCAGATGGTAAAATGTAAACAATGTAAACAATGTAAACAATGTAGTACATGTAAGTATATGTAAGTATATATGTACATGGTTTCAAGAGAATTGGTCTGAGATACGATTCCAGACAAAAACACACAGGCTTACAGAGTATAAACAACAAATCTTTGTTTCAAAATTTGTTTGAATATAGGATACTAAATAGTGAGAATATTTACCTGACTAGGTGGTATGGTGGGCATGTCAACAAATGCTACCATCATATTATAAAGTACAATAGTAACAGCATCTAAGAAAAACAGAATGATTTGACTTTAAACAATTTTTCTGAAAGTTAGAATGGAGCCACAATGATTAGAGCTAATGTAATACAATACAGTGTGCATTGCTGAATTCATTAGAACATGCATCCATAACTGTGCAGATGATATTACTATGTTATGCCATATGTGAGGTTTATATATGGCATCATATTCAAATGATCAATGTCAGTTTATTTTGAAAATTGAAATTTATTAAAAGCCAATTTTTCACTCTTACAGCTCACACATATATCAAGTTAGTTAAGAACTTTTACTGGCAAATAAAAAAGAAATCTTATTTAAAATGTACTTACCATTCAATAAAGATTCTCCAAAGACCAAGAAATAGAGTACATTATTAACATGAATTTCTTGAAATATAGCTAATACAGCTACTGGATCTACTGCTACTATCAATGCACTGAAGACAAGACACTCTATTAATGATATTTCAAAAGATGCACCCATGATACCAGCTAGTGAGCATGCATATAATGATGGTCCTATAAAGAATCATAGCATACATACAACAAACATAAAAAAAAATGGCGTCTTACCCTAATTTGAAAAATTCAAATGCACAGTATTTCAAAATTGTTAAACTCAAATTACTGATTGTAATACTACTACATGCAAGAAGTCTACATTATGGTTAGTGTTGTCATTTTATGATATAATTTCACAGTTTATACCACTCTTGGTCATGTGACCCATTAGGCTTACCCAAATTTAAGGCTTGACTCAATTTTTGTTTTGAACATGAACCTAAATATTCAAGTCAGCCTAAATAAGCCATATCTGGGAAGGGGTGCAAGGGCTGATCTGTTTCCAGTACATAAATGGCCATCATTCGGCCATCTTGAATCAGATCATGGAACAAATTGATGTGCATATGTATAATATTATGTATGATGTATGTGTGAGGTTTGAATGTAATTGGTCCACACATGTCTAAGATATAGATCCTGATGCACACTTGGACACATAGATGCAAACCATGAGATTATGTAGTATGCAAAATTATTAATCAAAATCTTACCTATAAGAAAGCAGTTCAATAATGTGCCCTGGAAAATAAAATTATCATAGATATGAGAATCAACAAATGAGATTTAGACAAAAAATATTAAATTATCACTGTGACATTACTTTTACATTATTTGCTGCTGCCAAATTACAAATGCCATGTTTGTTTACATACCAGATAAAAATACACACTCAAATATTATTTTTAAAATTAAATAGTGAGTGCTCTAAGTTTCAGACCAGGACAAACATTTCTCTAGTATAACACTCTGAAAACTGGCTATGGTATCACACACTAGGGATGCCTTAAGGTAGAAGCCTACTAACTTTTTGAAAAGGTTAGCCATAAATCGCATGACAATGTTCATTGGTTTATTATGTAAAATAATGGGGCTATTGTCTCATGGCACCATAAAATAGCATTTCCATATAAAATAATGTTTAAAAAAAATTGCATTTTTTGACACTTTTTGAAACCCAGATTTATGAAATAATTGAGAACAACAAATAGTACCCCATCATTCTCAAATATATCAGCCTATGTCACTAGACTGCAATTTGACATATAGCATACATGTAATATCTCTGCCATAGGAACCTTCGGTAAAAGTGATATAATACTGCCAAAATGACCACAATCAACTAAAATAAGAAAATTTTCACGAAAATTAAGCTGGTGACCCCAATTTTTTTGAAGATCAATATCCTTATAATATTTCCCGGAGGTAAAATCTAATGAAAAGGGAATTAATATTTTTTATTTATGAGTAGGCTTCTTTCGTAAGTGAAACATTCAAATCAATCAA